TGTCGGATCCCCTGGAACTGTAGTTATGGACAGTTGTTAGCTGCCATGTGGGTGCTGGGATTCGAACCCAGGTCTTCTGCAAGAACAACCAGTTTTCTTAACCACTGAGCCATCTCTCCAGCCCCCTCTGTGGACATTGTATGCACATGGTATACTTACATACATGCAGGTAAAATATTCATACACAAAATAAAATAATAAATATTTTTAGAAGAATATTTCGTTAGCTGATTTTTGCTCCTTTTCCCATTAATAACCCCTTTCCCATTAATAACCCCTTTCCCATTAATAACTCCTTTCCCATTAATAACTCCTTTCCCATTGATTAATTCTTTTCACCATCTATTCTCATTCATATGTTTAAAAAAATTTTTTGTTGATTTTTATGTTTTTAGGAAACTTGAAGTTTTCCCCTATATATGTGTGTAGACACACACTGCAAAGGCCAAGCAAAATAATAAAAACAATGAGAATTTAGAAATTAAAAATGATGCTAAAGGCATGTAAGCAATGATTTAACCACTTAGTAACTCAGTACCACAGAAAACACTGCTGCTTTCTATTACTAAAATTTCAAAACTCAACATTTTCTAGAGTTAAGATACAATTTAATCCAACATTAACCTCAATTACACTCTGAGAACATACCCTAGCTGACTGATATCCAAAGTATGAGTGGATGTTCCAAAAACAGGCACTTTCCCCATGATGAACATCATGATTTCTGATCTCTGATAATCTGGTAGGTTACTTCCAAAAAAACCTATAAATACAAGAAGACAAATTTCAAAAATTCAAAACATTAACTTTCCCATATAACACAAAATTCTATTTTTAAAAAGAGCTTTCACAGTAAGTGTTAGAGCATTGACTGTGTTCAAGCTACGTAACACTAGATGCATTATAATTTCATCTAATCCAAATCATGTATAATATATATATATTTATTTATTTATTTTGATAAACTTCTGGTAATAGTTCTTATGAAACTCTGCCTTGCACCTAAACTCTTGTTATGGTAAGTCAGTCAGTGGGATGGCTAATTTTGGTTGTCAACCTAACACACATGGGAAAAGGAACTCTCACTTGTGGAACTCCTCCATTGGCCTATGGGCAGGTCTGTGAGGCATTTTTAATTATGTAGGAGGGTCCAGACCACCGTGGGCAGTGCCAGCCCCAGGCAGGTGGGCCCGGGCTGTTTAAGAAAAGTAGCTGAATATGAGCCTGAGAGCAAGCCAGCGAGTAGTGTTCCTCCATGGTCTCTGCTTCAGGTCATGCCTTCACTCCCCTTGTTGATGGACTGTAACTGTAAGCCAAAGAAATCCTTCCTTCCCAGGTTGCTTTTGGTGATGGTGCTTATTACAACAACAGGAAAATGAATTAGGACTGTCAATAACTACATCCAAATCTGTCTGATAAAGAAGTCAATATTCATTTCCCCAAATTGTAAATACACATGCAGCAAACTAACGATCTTAACAGTACTCAGTCTACATAACAGTACCCATCTGCAGATTATTCCAGGTAAAATCTAAGGAGCACATACTTAGGAGGTAAACGTATTTTGTATTTAGATGCTCATAATAATTACAAGCCTAGGTACTATTATTTGCTTCTGCTTCCTCTTGGAGAAATGAGAATTAAAAACGTTAAGCAGGGGCTGGAGAATTGACTCAGTGGTTGTTAAGAGCACTCACAGGCTGCTCTTGCAAAGGACCCAGGTTCGATTTCCAGCACCTATATGGCAGCTAACAACTGTTTGTAACTCTCATTCCAGGAGATTCAATTCCCTCTTCTGACCTCCTCGAGCACTGCACAGGTGCACTTACACACATGGAGGCAATATACTCATAAACACAAAAATAAAAGTAATAAAATACTTTTTTAAAAAGTTAAGCACTCACAAAAGAAACAGCATAGTTAATAAGGCCTGAGTTGCCACTGGTGAGTCAAGGGAAGAGGGCTGAAATTTCAAAATTGTCATTTTGTAGTTTTCATAGTAAAGACTGGATAAAGCAGGAATTATGACTGGATAAAGAATGAAGGGCGGTATGCATGAAGAGCAGAGCATCAGCATGATTCTGAAGGGCCACCCCTACAGTGTATTGTTTGCAGTAACTGAATCACAGAAAAACCGTCCTAGAACCCTGAGTGAAGAAAATTAACACTGCCAGGAGGAGCACATTGTGCACTGTGCACCTCTGGATGTGCTACTCTGAGCAGAAACGCATCACCTATGCAGGGGCCACCCACCAGTGTACAACCTGAATTGAAAGGAAATACCAGATAAAACCAAATGAGGCATTTCTAGCTAAACAAACAAACAAGAACAAAAAGAAAAACAGAGGGAGACGTTGTCTTTAGGAAATTAGGTGTCATATGGAAATATTCCAGACTAAAGAAACACTATAACTACAAGCAATGTACGACCCTAGAATAGCTCCTGGACCCAAAGAAAAATGCAACAAAAGACATTTTTGGGTCAAACTGAACTATGGAAGGTTGATAAAAATATAGTATTGATGTTAAATTTACTTTTGTTTAAAATTCTGCTTATATTGTAGAAGAAATTTTGCTGGGAGTAGTGGCAAGTGCCATTAATCCCAGCATTTGGGAGGGAGAAGCAGGCAGAACTCTGTGAGCTGGAGGCCAGCCTGGTCTACATAGTGAGCTCCAGACCGGCTAGGATTACAAAGTGACACCGTCTCAAAAACAAAAAAAACAAAACAAAACGAAACATATATTTTTCTAAAGAGTAAAGAATTTAGTGCGAAAAGAACGTGATTTATACAATTTCTTATATACAGTGATTTATAAGATGTGTATGTATATGTATACATGTTTTTCCTTTATATACATATACATACTCATGTACACACATGTACGGTGAGAAACTGGGGAGGGGTAAGAACAAAAGAAACAGTAGCATAAAATGTTGACAACAGAAGGAAACAGACCAAGGACGTAATATTTAATCTTATGCTCACTCATCTACATACTGAAGTTTTAGGGGTCCACACTCTCATTCCTCTTTGACAAAGGCATTACACCAGTCAAGCAGCTTATGTGAGAGGTGTTTAAGCCACTGGACCTGGTGGTTTTGAAAAGCTGAACACTTACCTATTGTTTGGATGATAGCATTTTGCACAATCTTCTCATCATTGTCTTTGGAAGTTAAGGTGATGCTGCCTACAGACCCCTGCTGTGAATCATTCGCCTCAAATTCAACACTGAACCGCAGGTGTTTCAACAGGGTATTGAAGACTTCCAGGACTGTTGGCCCTGTGAGGGATCATTTTTGTGAGCAGATGTCCTTCCTCAATAATATGTATTCTTTTAAAAAACATTTCATTATTTTTATATGTATACTGCCTGGATGTATGTAAGTGCATCCATGTCATGCAATGCCTGCAGAAATCAGGGTGTTGGATTCCCTGGAACTGGAGTTAAGGACAGTTGTTAGCCATCGTGTGGATACTGGGAATTGAACCCAGGTCCTCTACAAGAGAAGCCGGTACTCTTAACCTCTGAGCGATCTCTCCAGGCCCCAATAATGTACATTCTTAAAAGCCACTCTCAAATTTCTCAACAGACTTTCTAAACAGTCAAAAGTACCGAATAATTTATAAACTAACAAGTTCATTTTTGTAAAAGCTGTATAACTAAATAGCAAAGTCTCCTAGTCATACCACAAACAACTGCTGGGTATCTATGAGCAACCTGTTATTTGATACACATATATACACAGAAGGAATACCCCAATGTTTTTACCTATCTAACTCTGTCTACCTTAATTGATGTTTACTGAGATAATACTTAACTTGACTGATGAGTCTAAATCTATAAACTTATTAATTATACAGTTCATTGTAACAGAAAATTTTACATCTTCTAAGATTAAAAAAGGAAGAATTTCCCTTAATTATGAGAAACTACTCAACTTGTCAGATTCAGGTGAACTGATTTTTCCTTTATTTTTTCTTCTGTCAAGATATCTATCACATGTTAATTAAGCATTCCATATCTGTCCCCTACATTCAATTACAAGCTTCTCCAGAAAGAGAACATGAATAAATGCTGTTTTGGATGTATAAAGCTTAGCACACAACAACCTAACACATAGTAGACATTAGCCAATATGGTAATTCAATCTGTTTCATTTCATATTTCAAATTAATTTTCCAATCAATAGTTTGCTTTCATCTTTTAAACATAAATTACAAATCATGAAAACTCCATATCCAAAAATGTTCACTCTTACTTCACACTGAAAGAACATTAGATTACCTCATTACACTCCTTCTAACTTCTGTACTTTTAACATAGACCCTGCTATTTCCTCATCATGTATGTGAACTGTCAAGCTCTTTGACCTGTTTGCTTTTCCTTGTTACTCATGCAGCCTATCAGTTTCCAGGGCATACTAACCAAGGGCAAGCTCTTGCTCTCACACTTACAACAGTTGACAGCAGTGATAGCAACTTATTTCTAGCCAGTTCTACATTGTGCTGGCAGAGAAATCTCTCCAATCAGTCTTTACTACTCATGCAACAGCAGAACTACATCCATGATCTGCAATGGGACTTTAAAAACACTTCTCTCATTTCTTCCACACTTTATGGGTCATATTAGCTCATGCTAATCTATCCCCTGGCTCCTCTGATCCCTGGTCATCTCACATTCTATGTGATCAAAGTTTCTCTATATTGAAAAATTAGGTGGCATTGTCTGTCTAAGTAAATGACAAGTGGAAGAAGCCCTTCACCAAAACAGGATGACAAGTGTTTGGGATTTGGAAATGTTTGCATGTATCTGTATGTGATGTGATGTGATGTGATGTGTGTGTGTGTGTGTAAGAGAGTGAGAAAGAGTGAGAGAATCATACCTCTTGTGTACACAAACACAGACACACATAGACTGTGAGATTTTTAGTGCCCTTGCATTGTGACTGAGACCCATTACAGACCCATTACAGTATGCCAACTGTGGCCCACGTTCAGCATCATGTCAGCCTTCAGTATATTTCAGATGTTGAAGCATTTCAGATTTGAGTTTTGGGTTTGGAATGTTGAACTTGAACCAGGCTTGGTGGTACAGGTCTAAAATCCCAGCTACAGGAGGCTGAGAAAGGAGGATTCCAAATTCAAAGGCTGCATGGGCTATAGACTGAGTTCAAGGCCAGGCCGGAATACTGAGACCCTATCTCAAAAACAAGTAAAAGAGAGCTAGGGATGTGTTCCCATATAGTAGAGTACTGGCCGAGGATGTGCAAGGCCCTGGGGTTAATCCTTAGTAACATCAAAGAAAAAAAAAAAAAGAGGGGGTTGCTAAAGAGATGGCTTTACCAGTTAAGAGCATTAAGTGCTCTTGTAGAGGACCTGGGTTCAGTTCCCAGCATATACATGGTGGCTAACAACCACCTCTAACTCCAATTCTTCTTTTGGCTCTGCAGGCATTGTACAAGAGTATACTTACAGACATACAAGCAAAACACTCGTATTCATAAAATAAATGTTCAACTTTTATTACTTTTAAATTTGTATTCACCCAGTGTTCAATATACAAAAGACAAAGGAAGGAAAGATTGATCGCATGAACTCCAACTAGAGCACATTTAATATTCAGAAAGATTCTTAAAGACGCAATACCTACTGGAAAAACACTCTGAAACATATTAATGCCTTCATTTTTTGGTGGTGGTACTCACCTATGGAACCTTTAGCAGCAATGGCGACAGCCTCTAACAGAACCTGAATGATACCTGCTCTTACTCGTGGAGAATCCTTCTTACGAGCATCAAGGTGTCCTAGAATCTCCTGGATCACATGGTGAGAATACTGAGCCTAAAGGAAGCAAACAGCACAGAGGGTGTGAATGAAAGTGCACCTTGTAGAATCTAAGAATGAAAAAGCATGTGGCACTTACCTACTCAATGACAAGGACTAGAATTTATAAAACTACATCTAGCCACCCAAAATCACTCCTTTAAAGAATAAACAGAGACAGTGAAAAATATTATGACCTACGAGTAAAGAAAGCAAGTTACAAAATACTGTGTTCAGTTTGATTTTTAAATAATAAATACAGGCCAGAGAAATGGCTCAGTGGTAATGGTGCTAGCCATGAAAGCCTAATGACTCAGGTTTTATCCTGGAACCTAAGTAAAAAGTCAATGTGGCGAGCACTCCTATAGGAGGTGGAAGGTGAGGACAGAGTCAGCTACTCTGGGGCACACAGTGTTGCAGCAGAACACACAAAGAAATAAATAAAGCATATCTAATCATAAATCATTATCAAAAGGAAAATATTATCAATCATAATGGTTCATGCCTTTAGTCCCAGCACTTGGGAGACACAAGCAGGCAAGTTCAGGCCAGCTGGGGCTAAAGGGAAATCCTGTCTCAAAACAAAACAAAACAGAACAAAACAAACAAACAAAAAAAAACAACAAAAGAAAAAAAATGTAATCCTGACAAAATTTAGAGAAAACTTCCTCACAGCTAAAAAATTTGATCAATTACAGTGAATGACATTGGGTTTAAACAAGCAAACAGCATAGACAGAAATACATTTAACTCCAGCGGAGGTTTATTTTCTTTTTATTTCTATTTTTCTTTTTATTTCTTTAATTTTCTTTTGAGTCAGAGTCTCACTATGTAGCCCCGGCTAGCCTTGAACTCAGAAAGATATGGCTGCCTGTGCCTCCAGGGTGCTAGGATTAAAAGCTTACATCACAATGCCTGGATATTTTTCTTTTCTTTCAAATGGAGTTGTTCTTTTTTTTTTAATTCAAAATCTGTACTTGGGCTCTGTGTGTGTGTGCGTGTGTGTGTGTGTGTGTGTGTGTACATTTGTGTTTGCCTGCATGTGGAGGCTAGAAGTGAATTCTTCAGCATGCCAACCACCTTATTTTTTGGTATTTTACT